AAAAAAAAAAAAAAAAAAAAACAAGAAACAAATGTAAAGTGCACACATGCACACGTCCGCACGGATATAATTCATAAAAAATTAAAACCTGTTGGCGTAATAATTACTCGAATTTTAATACATGTGGTTTACATTGTTTTCAAATATTTCGTTCGGGTTTCTATACATGTTGCTCATCAAACGGTCGGTGCCCTTGGTCAGCATGACATTGTCTGCTGCTCCCGTGCCCATAATTGTATTGTTGTTCATGTTAACGTCGCTCAGGCTCTTGTTCATTGTGGTGTTTTCCTCGAGCGATTGATTCGAACTTTCACACTTCTTCTCTTGGCTGTTGCTGGAGTTGTTCATTCCTTTGAGCTGCAAGGGGGGGGTTATTGTATTCTTTTTTTATCAGAATGTCGTGTCTAGGGGTAATTTCTCCCACTTTTTGCGCTAATCAGTTATGTACACACTTCTCTCCCACAACTCTCCCTCGGAGCTCATTTTGGCCAATTGGAGATTTCTCCCTTACTTGCTTCCACTTAGTGAGGTACTGATAAAGAGGTTCAACGTAGTCGTTAAATCCTAAGAGGGGGAGGCGGCAAAGGGCGATGTGGTTAATGCGGCGACGTCGGCGGGTGCCTCTACACGAATTCGTATACTAATTCGGGTGAAGAAGTAACCGCATATGCTTCTGTGGGTGTGGCTAACAAGAAGACCGTCACGAAAAAGTGGCCCTAAATTCGCCCTGCAACTTCGCTGTAGCTTCACCACAAGTACGCATTGGAGGCCTACCCAATTTCTCCATGGAAAACAAGATGTCCTCGCCGCTGATGGTCTTTCTCCTCTCCCTCAGGCACCTGTCGCTGGCCTGTCGACAAGGGAAAAAATACATTAAATTAAAGTACAAAAATATATGCATATATTTATATACATATATTAACTCCCGGTGAGGCAAATTCAGACTGCTCCTCCACGCATGTACGTGCACGCCAACCCCGTCTCACTTACCTCGCTGGTCAGAAACTGTATAAACTCCGTGACGCACTCTCGTATTATGTCCTTGCTCTCCTTGGCCACCTTAGCAGATGCCGGCAAAATCCTTTTCATAATTCTGCTTATATTAGCTATTGGCAATAATGTCTCACTGTCCGCTTTAATCTTCTTCTTATCATTTACCTCAAACTGATTTGAGTCTTTTTTTTCAATATTATCATCACTAGAATTTTTACCATCATCAGACAGGTTATTATTTTCCTTGTCCATATCCACATACTCATCACAGTTGTCCTTCACACTTTTGACTGACACCTGAATATGCTGTGAATAACCATTTGTGTTATTCTTAATTTCTGCGTCATTAAAACTATGGGTTATATTTGCTTTACAATTAGGATCAGAATCCTGACCATTGGGTTGTGAGAGGCTTGGTACATATGTACCGTTAGTGTCTACATTGTCGTGGACAACTGTTTCAACTACATTGGTGTTGTCATATGTTCCATTATTCATAAAGGACTGTCCATTGTCATATGAGTGATCACTGCTAATCATGTTATCCCTGTTAATGAAAATAACCCCCCCAAGATTCTCCTTTGAATAATTTACAAAATTTCCCTCCGCTTTATTTTGATCACCTTCTTGTTGAGGGTTAACATATTGCTCACCTTTGCTACAACTTTCGTAGCTTGTCTTCTCTGCCTTCTGTTCCTCATACGATTCGCCATGTGTATGTACGATGAAGGTTTTATTTACATTCTCCTCAGGGGATGCATAGAGCGGTCCATACAGGGATGTATTTTGAGTGTTTAATTTTCTTTCCTTGTTTATTTCATCATCGGCGAAACAATCTCTTCGTCGTTTATTATTATTTGCCATGGTGTAGTAGGCACTTTCCATTTGGACATTTTCAGACTCAATTTTGGGGTATGCCTTTTCGTTCTTCTCTTCACTACCATCCTCCACCAATTCGTATTCATTTGCATTATCACTTACCGTGCTAGTGATCGTGTCATCCATGGTGTTGCTTCCCTTCATGTAGGAGTACACCCCCCCCTTGTTCTCATTCCCGTTTGTGTTGCTAGGCGTATGCACTTTGAATTCGCTCGAATTGTCCTTACTCTTCACGGGTTGTCCATTTGGGCCTGTCATTCCTTCCTGCTCCTGCTTGGCGGCACTGTCCCCATGGCCACTCTCCCCCCGGCTGCTCTCCTTCGGCGGGATATTCACAGTAGTCACATTTGAGTCGTACTCGCCCTTCTGCTGTGCATCATCGCTGGAGGATTTTGTCCTCATCACTCCCAAATCGTTTTCCACGTTTACCGGAGCACCAACACTCACCCCATTGTAAAACTCCTCCCTATTACTTCCTTCGCTTGGAATGGAACTATGCATAGTTTTCTTCACAAGCACATCTTCCGCACTCTTCGCCCCATAATTATCTCCATCCTCTGTCCCCTTTTCATTTGCGCACTTTTTCACGCTCTTCTCATAAACTACTTTTTCCTCACTGCTTTGGAACTCGTTCCCCGTTTCCACTCCTCCGTCATGTGCGAGATGGCCATTTTCGCCGCCTCCATCTAATTTATCCTCTTCGAAAAGTGACATAATAGCGTTATCTACACCGTCTTCCTGTTCACCACTATCACATTCTACAGTGACCTCCTTCATAATTGTGCTGGCCACGTTGTCATGGTCTGCACGAGTAGGAGGACCCCCCTCATTCGACTGATTCCCCTTTATACAGTCACTTTCTTTATCCACAGCAGCTATGCCTATATTTGTTTTCACTTGGTATCCCTCCGCGCTGCCTCCTTCCTTGTCGTTTTTGTGACCCTGCCACGTAACATCATCTAAAACTTCTTCTCCATTTCCATTTTTATCTTCACCCTGCATATCGTTTTCACAAGGTTTGACACTCAGACTTGCATTACTGCCGTCTCCGTATAACCCACTATCGTAACTGCAATCCTTGTGCAGTTGTGTGTTTGTTGGATTAGGCATGGCAATAATTCCTCCTGGACCATGTGTCTTAATCGCATTGGATTCGAAATTTGGGAGAGTCTTTTTTTCACTGTGTTCACTTTTAGCAGAGGGGAGTACGTCTGAAATGTCCTGCTCAAAATTTTCTACACTTTTTTGTGCTTCATAATTTTGGTAGTAATTCTCATCAGCTTCGTAATGCGCGGTATTTTCGGGAGGAACGGGGGGGATGGGCGTGCTGGCTGCGTCGTGATAGTCGCTCCCGATCTCACTTTTGTGGCCATTTTTGTGGTCACTTTTGCCCCCCCCAGGGTCGAGACAACTCCCGTCCCGCACTGCCAACCCTAATCCCTGTTGATCGTAGAAATTTATATCCGATTCAACCGCATCAAAATCGGCGTCGACCCCGCCACACCCACTGACCCCCCCCTCATCATCCTTCTCTCTTTTATCAAAATAGAGGTGCTCCATCACACCTTCCTTCATTTCTTTATACTGCATCTTGCCATAATACTGATTTGAAACAGAATCATCATAAGCATAACCACGTTGGGTGCTGATGTAGGTATGTCTTCCATCCACATCCATATTGGACTCCGACAAGGTGTGGGAAGAACCCGTTTTAATCTTGTCCCTATAAACTTCATTAACTGCAGAACTGTTGCTACCGCTTCTGACATCACTCATCCTCTCCATGCCGTTACTGTTTATCTTATCTTCTGTGTTTATATTATCGTCATTTTGAAAACTTCCATTTTGATTAATCCCTACCGATTCGTCTTCCTCTATTAGTACCAGATTGGTATCCATCACATTACTATCAGGGGAAACATTTTCCACACCACTCATATTTTTACTTTTCATTACTTTTGAAGTGGCTTGTATTTCGTGGCTAGCCAAAATTTCATTATCGTATCCATATTTGTATTCCTCGTTCAGGTTATTTTCACTTTCTATTGTGGATATTAGCTTATTGCTAAAACTGCTGTCTGCATGGAAGTTATTAGTCTTCACATCTGCCGCATCGTAGCTTCCATTCGTAACTGCTTTACCTACATAATCGTATCGAACTCCGTTCATGTTCGAATCATTCTTATCGTCTGTCATCTCCGTTTTAATGGATGCATCTCCATTTTGGGCATTTCGTGAATGGTCATAAATTTCCTCATGCTTCATTTTCTCTACTTCATCAATGGGCTGCAATTATGCATATGAAGAATGGCTACTGTTGAAGGGGCCACCTGTCATACCTCTTTCTTCTGGCGCTTCCTATTCCCCCACTACTGCTACTGATTCGTCAGAGGGAAGGAACGCAAAAAGAAGAAAAAAAAAAAAAGTGATCAGACAATGCTGACTGAGCTGTGTGTGCACGTAAAAATAGGTAAAGAGAAATAACTTCGAGGAGGAATCACACACAGGGCGGGTAATATAAACAAAGGAAAAGAAACAACATTACACACATATGTGCGTACATATATCGTAACTCACACATGTGCATGCAAAGGGGTGGTATATTAACAAAGACAGAGCGGTGTGAACATGCACATCCCTTAGGACTACAAAATTTCGTTCAGGGAGTCACTCGCGACGATGAGATAAAATATAAATCATACTACAAAGAGAAGGAAAGAACAGAACAGCGTCTATCTGTCGACAGTTCCTTCTGAGCAATCCTGATGGCTTATACACCTTTGCTTATTTTTGTTTTTGGCAAATTCTGCGTCCAAGTTGATGATCTACTTGGTTGACCCAGTTGGTGGCTCACTCCTTGGCTACTCTTCAACTACTTCGCTGCTATCCTCTCGTCCTATTTAGCGACAATTTAACAGCTCTCACAACCCATTTTTTTATTGAGGGTGGGGAGGCCTAGCTTTTTTCAAACCTGCCTTTTTCCACCTGCAGCTCGTTTATATACGTCTCCTCTTACTCCTTTATCCTGCGCTCCTTGGATTGACTTTGCTCCCAATTTTCACTTCGACCGTTTTGACTTTTTTCCACTTGCTCCTTTTTCTTCCGCTTTCTACCTTCCTGCTCTTTTTTTTTTTTTTTTTTTTTTGTTTTCCTTCTTACTCCTTTTCGAATACAAAATTCGCGTGACAAAACAAAACAAATGATCTCTTCATGGCAAATATTTGTGCACATGAAAGTTCATTCCTTTTTTTCCCTTTATTTTCCAACCAAAGGTAAAATACGACAGAAAATGAAAATTAATTGCGGGCACAAAAAAAATATTTACAAACGTGCGCTCAGGTACAAATGTGTATACGATGTCACTACGTGGAAGTGATTGTGTACCCGAATAAGCGAACGGTGGGACGTAAAAGGCGAATACACATGCGATTGTAAACGTACGCATGGGGGTACGCAAATGTATATAACACCTCTGCACATGAGAGAAATTCAACATTATTCATATAATTGCTCTATTTTTCCTGTTTTTCTTCATATCTACATTTCAAGTGTAGTGCCTGCGCGTACGTGGCCTCGATGGATGCCAAATTGTCATGTGCGGACGTAATTTTGTACAAGTGCGTACACATGTACACAATTATATGTATATATATTGTATATATAAATACGTACATGTACTTTGTTTTTTTTTTTTTTTTTTGTGTGGCAAACGTAAGGCAATTTTCATTCCTGCCTCTTCGTCATTCTCTTTTTTTTTTTGTTTTTGTTTTTTTTTTTTTGTTACTTAAGATGAAGATATGTTTCCACGCATGGGGTGTTCTTTACAATATCACAAAAGGGATCAAATGTGTTTAATTCAGCCAATCAGTCAGTTATTGTTTGTTTTTTTTCTTTCTTTCCTTTCTTCAATCCTCGCTGCCTTTTTCCCCCTTTCCACGTTACAACTCTGTTGATGTGAGTGCGATGAACAAATCGACGCAGAAGGCGAGCGACCTGGAGTCCACCCTCCTACGCCTTCGCTTGCTACCAGTACAGTGATTGCAAAGTGCCTGGGTCAGGTTTCACCCGTTCCCCGCGTCCCATGTGCAGGCTGCCATGATGGACCCTTCGTGACGAACGCCACAGTGGGCGTCCAAATTGAAGAATTCGGAAATACGCCTACAGGCACTCTGTGCGCTTTAGGCAGTGTTAAGAACAACAACTGCGCCCCCGTTTCCTTCTTGGAGGACACTTTTAAAGGAACAAACGAACACCTCTTTTTTATATAGACATGTGCAGCACGCAGCTGTTTTATCATCGAACGGAAAACCCACTGCTATAAGAAAAATGACAAACTGCTCATTTGCACATGCGCGCTTCCTTTGCACCATTTGGTTTTTCCTCTTTTACTTCCCACTTAAATCCCAACCCTAAACAAGTTATATTAACAAGGGGAAATAAAAAAAGGAGAATTACAAAGTCTACACAGGTTCTACATCGCAGGTGCAACTCCCCCCCCCTGTTAATGATTTAGCAACAACACGTACATGTGTGCTCATCCGGTGTGTCATAACACATCAAGGCTACTTTACCATATCAGTAGAGTATGGGTAAAAGGAAAGATCGACAAGGAAAAAAAAAAAAAAAAAAAAAAAAAAAAAGAAATCACATTTGCCTTTGCTACAACTTTTGTTCACCCGTATATTGTTGCTACGTATTACATTTTGTCTCCCAATTTGGTGGGTTACTCGGAAGGACTTTTTTTTTTAGTGAGACCCGCGGCGCCTTTCCCATCTATCCTGTTTCCATTGAACTCTTGCAGGTCAATATCCTTTGTGTTTGCCTCCAGAATTTGCTTAATCTCCTTATAAGATATATCCTTGAAGTAAAGATAATTGTCCATGTCGAGGTGGCGCAGGCGCGTGAACTTGTTCAGGTTACTCAGTTGACTCATAGGCATGGTACTGTTGTTATTAATTTTAAGATATTTTATATTAGGAGTTATGTCGCTAAATTCTATATTTTCTATAGGGTTGGATGATAAGTCTATGGACTCCAAATTGGCTAGCTGATTTTTAAGAGCTAATGTTTTTATATTATTATTGGAGAGGTTTAATTTTTTTACACTACTAGGCAGATTGATGTTAATACCTTCTATATTATTGTGAGACAAATCGAGTTCTATTAAATTTAGCATTTTTATGTCTTCCACATTTTTAATTAAATTGTGAGATAAATTCATGTACACACAATTCTTCAAGCAATTGGTACCCATTTTTTTTATCGCCTTAATCATATTGTTAGACATATCTAAAAAAACCACATTGCTCAAACGGTACAATATTTGTATATCTTCTATTTTGTTATGAGCCATATTTATATACTTGAGGTCTTTATATTTTTCTACTTCCTTTGGGATGCAATTCAAGTTTTTATTTTTACAAGTCAAGTTACTAAAGGCGTACCCATCTCCGCTCAACGTTTTTTCTAACTGCGACAGGCCGTCCTTTATATGAAAAAGGGCATCTTGGTTACTCCCACTGGGATGTTCTTTTTCCATTTGTTGATCCTCTCCATATGTGTCAATCGTAACACCATTCTGTTCCTTACCCTCCTTTGCACCCCCCGCAACTTTGCCATTTTCTTCATCGCCCTTGTTACTCGCGTTGGTCGCATCTCCCCTACTGCTGCTTTTACTCTTGAGCGCATTACCTTCACTGCTCATTTTCCCTCCACCCTAATGTGAACATAATTGGACGCACGAAAATGTCTCTCAAGTTTTCCCAAAAAAATGACTGGCCTTTTTTTTTTTTTTATCTTCACAAGCATCTCTTTTTCGGCAAGCCATTCGTTTTTTTTTTTTTTTTTTTTTTTTTTTTTTAAATTTTTTTTTTTTTTTTTTTTTTTTTTTTTTTTTCAAAATTTATATCGTTCTTATTTGATTTGTCTTTTTCTTTCTTTTTTGTGTTCCCCTCTGCAAAGGTGAAATATGGTGCCATATAAAAAAAAAGAGAAAAAAAGGAAAAATGTAGAAAATTTTGCCCCGTTTTTTTGCGAATGGAATTTTGTATAGAAATTCCCCCTACCCCGAAGTACCTACTTTACAGTACATGAGGATGTTGAAGTACTCCCATCAGCATACACATGGGTAGGAACCCCTCGCCACTTCTCATATAAGGAACCGGTCACATGTTCCCAAGCACTCATATTCTTTCCTCTTTCATAAAATGTGAGGTTTAATTTTGCTCTGTAATGATCTCCACCTAAAATCCAGATCTTATGATCCTTCAGTATTTAAATAGGGGCCCGCTTGTAGACCCCATATTTTTTTTTTTTTTTCTCCAACATCGAAACAGTAAAAAGGTAGAGCTATTTCTTCCTGCCATGTATTCATAACATCCTCAGAGAAACATGCACAAATACGAGTGGGATAATTTTATTGAATATGCAATTTTATTTCATTTCACGTTTTCCATTTTTTTTCTTTTTGTTTAATTTTCTACGCTGTAAGGATATTCCCGCACAACACATGAACCATACCTGTGCAGGGCTGCTTACGAACGCATATAGGCAACACAAACCTTCTCACTCATACAAATGTGGCCAACCGGAATAAACCCAATGGAATGGAACAATGTTTCCCACTAAGGATAAGAGAAACAGGCGGCACTATCCCACATATATAATGTGTCTACTTTTAAGAAGCCTTTATGTTTAGACCCCCACGGGGAGGGGAGTCGGTTACTGCTCGCGTTGCAAATACATATGGACATACTGCCCCGATCAATTTTTTTTTTTCCTCCCTTTGTCTACTCTTGTTCTGTTGTATGCTGACCTTTCTTTTCCCCATCATGTAGAAATAAGTCTACACATGTATGTTCTCCCCTCGATTTACAAGCATGCGCATGTCTTATCAATGAAGGTTTCAATTTCATCATCTTTTACTTTAACAGATTAGACAATTGTTCTTGTTAACCTGAAAAATGGTGCACCCTGCTGTAGCACATACCCTCGCAAAAAAAAAAAAAAAAAAAAAAAAAAAACCTTCCAAAAATGTGAGTACATTTTTTATAAAAAAAAATTTGCCTTTTGATTGGCACAAAAAGTTTTATATAATGTAAGCAGTTTAGGACAAAATTGCAAGCATAAGACATTAACACATAAGGCCTATAGGCAGGAGAAGCCCATTTCTGGCGTGCACTTTGACTTAACGTCCTCCTGCCTCATGTTTAAGCCTGTTCTCATTTTGTCCTTTCTGCACGCCGAAATGCAGCCTAAATGGTTGCAGACAATGTACACGTAATTATAAAATGTAGCTCTACCAATGTACACATGAAAGGGGAAAAAAAAAAAAATATATATATATATATACATTTGGCAAGCTCAACAATCGCACCGTAATTCCTTCACAAGGTAGACCTAAATCTGAAGGTACACACATTCGTATGTACCTCTTTGCGTCGTCCCATTCGCATGGATATAATTTTTGTACAATTTTTCCTGGCAGATTGTAACCCTTGTAAATACCTGCCACTACAAACAGCCATATATATACCTTCTATATGCACGCATTCACCGCATGCGTGTGCGTGCCCTCCCTTTTTCTTTCCCCCCGAATTGCGCGTGTCCCTATATTAAGCATGGAAAGCGCCAACATGCGTAGGAATACACAGCAATATGCAACTCTCACCTATCTCACAAACCTATTTATCCTCACTAGTAAAAAAATGAGTAACATCATGAATAGTAGTGCCACTGGCCTGCACAATTTTTTAATCCAAGTGAAGAATTTTCTTTCAACACACTCATTGCGCTCTTACCTCGTTATATATAACATCCTGCTGATCATATTTCTATTATTTTTGCTAATAAAATGCAGGAATAAATGTAAGCGCACCAAAAGGCGAGACGCCTCCCCAGGGGTTGAACACAAGGTGGTGGATGCAGTCATCACGGAGGCAAGTAGCAAAGACGGGGGAAAAAGCCACGGCATGGGGGGAAGTAAAAGACGGGGTGGAAGCCAAAGCAGGAGAACACGCAAAAGGAGTGGAAGCACATGGAATGGACAAATCACAAATAAGAATCGCGCAACAAGCAAGGCACGAACCACCAGCAGTGCACGAAACACTCGTAGTAAAGGGAGAAACGCAAGCAAAGGAAAAAAAACTCCAAAGGGGAACCAAAACAGAAATAGCGATTTCGAACAAGAGCAAAATTTGGTCAGCAGAATATACAGCTTACGGTCCAGAGCGAGAAATCAAAAGGATCATGTGCAACGAGAAAACTCCCTTATAAACACAAAACGAAGTGGAAGAACAGGATTAGAAATTACACAAATGAATAAAATGGTGACATCAAATTCGTTAACCAACGTGTCTCTGCCTTATGCCGACATATCCAGTGTTCACCTGAATTTAAAAGAAAAGGACGAAAAAAAGAAAAAAGCCATGTTGAAAGAAAAGAAAAAAAATTAGCTCTACTAAGGGAGGGGAATACACATAATGACTGCAAAAAAAAAAAAAAAAAAACAAAAAGGATTCGCTTAAAAATATTTTGTTCGTTTCCAAATGCGAAACTTGCACGCACACTGTCGTTATATGTTTTTTTTTTTTTTTTTTTTTTTTTTTTTGTTCTGCCTATGGGAAAGCAGACCTACAACATTCGTTTGACTGGTCATTTATCTTTCCATTCCCCGCTCCACATGTTTTTGTTATAATTAAAGGGCTTACACGGCTATGTGCATGTGGCCCATGCAGAGGTGCTCTAGGTGCCTAGATGTTTCTTCTAATGTATAAAACTGTTTTATTCTAAATATGCTTCTTAATTTTTATCTAAACTAATCCTCTTTTTTCCTTTTTTTTTTTTTTTTTTTT